TCTTGTAATAGGTACTTCTTTTTCAATATTGAAACTTAGTTGGAAAAGAGGAGTTAATTCTTTTCATTTTGTTGCTGTTACTCTCCTGCTGAGCATATGTTGCTCTTTTCTGTGTCTTTGTCTTATCTTCACTGCTGTGAATAGGTAGGCATCACAATGTCACTTCACAGCCCAGCATTCTGACTTTATTCTGTGCTGGCTTCCTCATTCTGTGCAGACGGTGCTAATGGACCAGACCCGCTTTCAGGAAATACAGCTGGAGCTGGAGCAGCTCCTCTTGACTGGGACTGTCCTTCTGGTCACGTTCAGTGCAGCAGGCCCGGCACTCGTCGATATGCCTGGATTTGCTGAGAAAATCAAAACCATTGTCAAGGTGCTGCTGTCAGGAATGCATCTTCCGTGAGTATTGAATAATCCTACTCACAGAGAGGCAGGTGTAGCTCTGTTTTCACCCTAGTAAATAGTCAGTTTAAGCCTCTCTCTGGCTGTGGACTGCAGAATATGTAGAGGAAGTGATGAGGGCTTTTTATGAGTCCAGGCTGACAATTTTTATTCAACTTACTCAGACAGAACTATCTTTTCTTGCTCTGTTCTGATATGTACATGCTCCTTTTTCCAGAGTATGTTTTTCATGGTTGGCACATGAGAGCGCGAGCAGCTAACATGCTCACGTTTTGGGCCAGGCTCCCTCGAGACTTTGAGTGCTCGCAGATTTAGAATGATTGCTGTGCACGTTATGGGTCGATAACTGTTTTTTGCATTAGTCAGAGCTGTCTGTGTAGGCAGAAAGTCAGCTCTTATTTGTATGGATTGTTCAGGCTGGAAATCTTTAATGCTATCCTACCTCCTTGGTTTATATCTCAACTTTATTTTTCACATATATAAAATGTATTATTCTTTATAGTTCTGGCTTTTTTGGATTACGCTTCTTCCATTACATTTGGTAAATAAGGCAACAGTAATTGGATAGTTTACTTTTAAAAGGTGGGAAAAAAAGTGAATAACTAATATAGTTAAGTAATGCTCTACTCCATGTTCTCTAGCTCCTTTAACCTGCAGGAATCTTTGGCCACCGTTGGTGAAAAGGTGTGTGCTGAAGTTAACAGCTGCCTTTCCCAGCATGGGTTTACGCCATTCTCAGCTGAGAGAGAGTCTGGACTTAAAGGGCAAATCCAAGCAGTGGCCAATCCGGATAACACCATATGCAAGCTGATAGGTATGCCTTGACAAAAATGCTCTGTTCGCAAGTGACCACTCCTCTGTCTTTGTAACACTGTTGGTGGCATGTCATGCATGGTTTCTCATTTAATGTTTCAACTACTTGTTTACTATGTTCAGGCTTTGTGTATTTTACATGCGATTGCACTATATCTAATTGACTGTCTCTTTCGAAAACAAACCAAAATCCTTGGTCCAATTTTTCCAGATTCTCGAATTGAAAAGTTTCTGGAGAATTATCTTGCATCTAGTCACCAGAAACCATTACCTGCTGTTCCTGGAGGATTAGGCCCTATTCAAAGGGAGCTGGAGGAGATTGCCGTCAAGTATGTTCGTCTTGTCAACTACAACAAAATGGTCTTCAGCCCTTACTATGATGCAGTCCTTGGCAAAATACTGACTAAGGAAGAATCCCAACTTGTAGGGAAGTCAGAAGAATCATAAAACCAGTTTGAATGTTACCAATATGGTATTGTCAGCTATTTAAAAAAAAAAAAACGCACCAATATTTGTCTAGGAAAACAGCTTTCCATGTAAATACTGTTTCCTTTTAATTCACTAGTGATGATTGATGAGGAAAATACATGAGATGCAAAAGGGGTTCTGAAGTAAATTATGAGAGAGAGATGCATTTTTAATGTAAGTATGCACCTTGGGATGGGATGTCTTGGTAGTTTTCTGGCTGCAATTTTTGGATTCTTGAGCTGATGCTAGGTAGGACAAGTTTAAGAACCAAACTTTGTATTTAAGTGGCTCATTTTAGGGCATTTTACTCTAATTTACCGTGAATTTAGTTTAATTAATCCAGAGCAGATTAGCAATGGTCCTTGCCAGAAGGGGTGATTTGGCTTTAAAAAAATCTTACTTTAAAGACTTAAGAAGAAAGCTAAAATTCTAGGCAAGAGAAACTTTAGCAGGCAAAAAACAAAGCCAAACAGCACTTTATTGTAACATTATGGCTAATACGGTAGGCTACTAGTTTTTTCTGCATTTTACTGCATTTTTAATAGCATTTTTTTGCCATTTACCTGCAGATGTTACAAATCACATAATATATTTTTGTAGCAAATTTTCTGGTTATTGGGTAACTGTCCTCTGCTATGTACAGTACTTACAAAGGTGGCAATCTTATAGATTGCAGCTATATTTATCTCTTGTAAAGACTTCAGAAGGGCAGAGCTAAAATGTTTTGATAAAAGTGGCATTTCTTACCTTTTTTTTGCTAGTAGTTTACTCCTTTTTATGTGAAATACTAATTTTAAAGTAAATCTTTGTCATTTTCAGAAGGTGGATTTAAGGTGTGTGAGACTTTAGGCTGAAAATTTTACTTGTTTTTTAAAACTACAACTGGAGATGGTTGCATATTCAATTATGTCTTCAAAAATATCCAGGAAGTGCAGAGCACTATCAGAAGTACAAGTGATTTTAAAGTACTGTGAGTGATTTAATGTGAGTTTGAATATACAGGGAATATTTTCAGTAGATTTTTTTTCACTTTGTAGAGGTGTTCTTGAAACTTAAAATATTTGTAGGTCTTGAATTTAATTAGCTACATGTTATGTAGATGAGTGTTCACAGAGGAGCTCAATGATCTTACAGCCTTATTGCAATTTCAAACTCAGCTAGGAGGTAAGTACATTTGAAATTTTCCTCTAGTTGAGTACAATGCTGTATTACAGTAATCAAAATTTGATGATTTTATGAAAGCAAAGTTCATAGTTATAAACAGTAAGTGTCCCAAGTACTAGACTACCAAAATAGAATGTGGTGTTCTTTAAAAAAACCCAGCAAGTTATGTAAAATAAATAAATAAAAGGGCCCTTTTATTGCTTACCTCCAGGTTCATTTTATTAATCAACTCGTCAACCAAAATAATAGAACTTCTAGAAGGATGCGCTTGATTATGAATCACTGTTGATTCCCTTTCCAGTTTTCCTTTAAATGTCAGCGTGGATATAGCTGCACTAACTTTGAGTTTGGAGGAATGTGGGATAAGACAGACCTTTTATTCCGTATTAGCCTATGCAACTATAAACCAAATCTTTTCTCATTCATTACAAACCCCGTTCCCCAAGGGAAAAAAAAACCACCAAAACCCTGTAGATCACCAGCTCAGACAAGTGATTTTTCTTTTGGCTAAATGTACTCAGATAGTAAAATGGATGTCTGTCTTTGAATCTTTCTTTGATAACTCAAAAATGAGTAGGTTGGTTAGCCAGAAAAAAAAGTTCTGAGTAGGTTTTTGGTGTGGTCTATTTAATTGTTTGAATCAGCAAAGGATACTACAGAGGTCTTCAAGACTGCCGCATCTGCTTACTGTACTCTGTTATTAGTGCAGGATCCACCTCAAAATACAGCCTATAGCTCTGCAGCTCCAAAAAATTAATTCAGTAGTCCGCGTAACAAAAGAGCTACCAGAAACATTATTGCTAGAGAGATTAAAAAAAAAAAAAACCAAGACAAAGCCTTTTTCATTTTTGTTAAATGAGAGTTGCAGAAGTTATAAATTGCTGCTGTTATTTTATATTTTAGTATTGCCTAGAAGCTGCCTTTAAACGCCCCTGTGAATTACGCATACTACAAAAATTTAGATGCTCTAGGGGCTGATTTCAAGGATGGGGGGAGGAAACATCATGGTGAAACAACATGCTTGGAAAAGGCTTTGAAAAGTATGTGACTGATGCCAGGATGAATGGGACTGCATTATCAATAGATAAAATTGTACTTGCTTAATCCAGGAGGTGGCTGCTCCCAGTTCTGGCATTCAGGGTCCAGATGTCCATGACGGCCAACTCCTGCTTACTCTGACATCGAAGCATGGATTGTGCTGCCAGTAGCCCATGCGTATTGCTCGCAGGGTCGACAGAGTGAGTCCCGTCTCTGCTCGCAGCAGGGGTTTGATCCTAAGGCTTCGTGTAGAAAAAAGCGCAGTACCCACATCTGGCTCCGATCTCACCTTTGGGAGCGAGTGCCTCCGTGGGTGGTGGTGTGGGCCTTGCGACAGTACGGATCTAAAGAGACTGTAATAAAAGCCCACAAGTGCAAATCACGTTAGTGATTCTCCCAGGTTGTTTTTAATGATAGCAGTTGACAAATAGTTTCTCTACATCCTCTTTAAAGGAAATAGGGAGATACAATTAAGTGGCAAAGCAAAAACAGAAATTCTAGGATTGATAAGGCCAGACCCTACTTCCATGTGAACACTTAAACAGTTATACGTACGCTGTTTCACCTTTTAGCCTGGTAGATGATAGAAGCACTGACCTACAGTCATGTATACTGCTGGGGCGGGAATGTTTTTCCACTTGTCCAAGTATCTGAATTTCCTGCAGTCCACGGGGGTTCTTAACGGTCTTAGAGTCAATTACAAGTTAACATCTAAAGTATGCATAGAAACTGCTTCGAAAGTTCATACAGTGTTTTTGTTAGCTTGTTTGAAAGTAAGAGGTTAAACTATGTAGCTAATATATTAACATTTAGCTTTGTACATTAAGTGGAAGACCAATGCAGTTATCCAGGAACAGACTCTGTTAGCTAGTACTCCTGGACAATCCACATTAGAAATACGTACCGAGTTTGTCTTACGATGCTGTCCTCTTTAAACAGTCATGGAATTAAAAGCAAAAGTATACTGTATCCTCTAGAAAAATGGAAAAAAAGCTGATTCTAATATGTATGCTCTGACCAATTTCCTGTGATGGTCTTATTAACATTGCTTTTGAAGTGGCTGAGTAATATTTAAGAAATAGCTTGTGTTTGAATAAAATCAGAATGAGGCATGATGTTATGGATATCCTTTTATTTTAAAGGAATGTTTTTTTCCATTTTCAACTACAAAACAGATTCCATACATTCTGCCATAAATAAAAACGAACAATAAGGCAGGACACTACATGAACAAACTGAGAACAACTGTTTTCCAGAAAATGTGAATTAAAAATGCTTCACAAGTATAAGCCATCCAGTTTTTAAAATAAAACTGTTGAAAAACCCACAAGATTTCAAGTGGTAGATGTGAACACCCTTGAAGAACAAAATGCAGTTCTGACATTTTGCACTTTTGGTTTTGAAAACCCAGTTTTGTTCAGAGCACATTCTAAGGTTGTTCTGGTTGTTTTCAGATCAAGAACCATATGGGAGAAGAGGCACCACAGTAACAAAACCATTTTCAAGATTTTTTTTGTTTGCAGCTGTCCCTTTTAAATGCTTGACTTTTAAGAGACTGACGGACTCAATGCAAGTCTTTGTCTGTCACAGTAGAACTCCAAACTTGTTTCACCGGATTCTCTTTTGCTGTCGTGCTCTGTAAATGTCGTGTACAGGGGGAACTACAGATCCTTTCTCCTCATCGTCATCAGAATCTTCATGTGGTCTCTTAACAGCCTTATTGAGCATAGCGTTATTTTCCACAGGTCCATTGCCTTCCACAGCTATTTCAGGTAGGCCTCCGGTAATTATTCGCACAGCTTCATCAACAGCTTTAGAAAGAGAAAAAGATTAAATTTATTTGTGAAACTAAATTCCCTGATTAGAAATAAGCATGCAAGCAGGGACATCAAGATAGATACGTTGTGGAGATTTCTGGAACATGAGACATTTTCCTACCCTATTCTCCTACAAATGTTAAAAATTAAGTCTCAACTGTCTAAAACTCCGAGCTATGGCAAACACTAATTATAAAGTAAATGCTGCTGCTTCAGCTTGAGACCTCCCTTTACACAAGTATCGAGGTCATTTGCAAGCCTAATAAAACAGGAAAGCCTATTGGGGAGACAGTATAGCTAGTTTATGATTAATGAGAAAGTATGCATAGCAAGTCAGTTTCTGCTATCAACAGAGAAAGCTTCAAAAATACCATGTATAATTTAAATAGATGGTTTATTTTCACTCTGAAAGAAGTTAAATCTTAGCTAGCTTTCTCTCTGATCATTTGCTCCTTAAACAGAGGGGGTGAAAAGTAGCATATTATCATCTGCCATCGTTTACATGAAGCCTGGAGTATGGATCTGTCCTGGTTTTATATTTCGGAAGTCTGCCTTCTTTGTAGGAGCTCAGAAAACACTGCTGTTGGATTGTTCTCAAGCACTGCAACAATGTGCCTTCAGAGTTATGCCTACCAGTGAACTTACCATACTGCAAACTTGTAGTTTAATGTTACAGTTACAATGCTGTTAGAAATAATGCCTTGCTTCTTTCAACGGATGTTCTGAAAATCTTCATTTCCTTATTTTAATGGTTACCACCAAAATGTTATTAAAGTAGCAGCTGGTGATTTTCAGCTTTTTGACTTTTCGTCGATCTCCCCCCAGTTAAATGTACAAACATCTCTATGTAGATTCCAACCTACAAATGTAGCCAATTCAATAGTATACTCTTAAATAATAATTACACATCTGTAAACGAGGTCTGGATTTTAGACAGCAATATCCATATGTAAAACAAAGTCATGTGCAGCACTATCACAGACTCCAGAGTGAAGAAATAACTTACTGTCTGGCAGTTTGCATCTTCTAAATATCTCCATGAGCTCATCCACTTGAACAAAGGGACCCTGATTTGTTACAAAAAAAAAAAAAGTTTAGAAGAGTATTTTCAATAGAGTGATACATACTGTGGTTCTGTCAAAACAGAATCTCTTCGACAACTTTTTGAAGTGTTCAGAATTCGTTCAAACAAACCTGAAAACAAACAGGAGGTGGCAGGAGCTTCATGAGAACTACAGCTGCTGGTGGAACAGGAAAGACACCACCTGGGACGGGATGTAAACCTGGAGCTGTGGGAAGAAAAACTGTGTGAATCCAGTGCAAGGCAGCTAGACTTGAATTGCTTTTGCAGTGTTATTATTTCATGCAAATAATTACTACCCTGTCACTTTTGCCTCTACTAATTACATATTGTTTAGTCAGTGATCTGAAGTCTATGAGCAGTGTGTATAACACCTCATTACCATTTACCAGACCCCAAACTACTTGTACTTATTTCTGTGACCTTAGTATTAGGTAAGTAAAATATATATGCCTTTAGCAATCCGATTAAATAACAGCCTAAAATTTAAGCACATGTTCAGAGGACTGAAGACTAGGAGAGTCTCTGTGATTAGGTTTGCGAAACACACAGGTTAATAACTTGCCGCCAGGTGAAATATAACCACTTCCGACTGAACATCTGACTTACGTGCTAAGTGTCTTGGCTGAAATGGAATCATTTGTTGAGTGTCCGGTTTTGGATATTCGGGTTTTCTGTCTACTTCATCTTTGAGAACAGGCACGATGGAAGGTGCAACCACAGGGTCTGGAATTATAGCTGCCAGCTTGGCACGGGAGACATCCTGCGAAAGCCAATTAGAGAGCACTGAACTTGGCAGGATCACATTGCTTGTTTAAATTGCAGAACAAAACATCTCTCTAGACCAGTCGCTTATTCTCACTTTGTCATCATTATAATTTCAGATGTCCTCTTAGAAGACCATCTGGGCAAAACTTGCATGTTTTCATCAAATATTTTAGTCCTACAGTGTCCCAGCTGGGAGTGGAAACACTTGTTTTTGTTACCGAATGGGACTGTATTTATCATTTTTGAGTGGCTCCTTTTTTTTAGGTTAAAAAGATTTAGGTGAACAGGTGCAGACCACTAGGCCTTCACAACTATCGTTTCTCCCTCATTTCATTCCATAGATTGCTTTCGCTGGAAAAGAAATAAAGCATAAGGCAGTCAGCAGGCATGCAAAGCATCAGTTCAAACAGGATTATATTTTGGCATGTTACAAGCAACAGAAATCAGCCCAAGGGCTGAATCATCTTAGGTACACACCACCTCGCATGCATTTATCAAGATGTACTTTCTTGTAAGCACACCTGTAACTTCAAAATAACTTTGTCCCAATTGCGTTATAAGAAAAGTATTCAGTGGCTCAATGTGACTTACTTCCACCTATCAGATTATTCTACAACTGTGTGAAGACCAACAATTCAGCTGCTTTGCTAACTTTGATGACTTCTGTATTTTTCAAAAATTACTTTTCTGTATAAGAAATAAATGGAAGCTGCGGCACTATTTTTGAGACATGAATTGAAGGTTCTCTTCCTGTTCTCTCTTCCTGCAAATAGGAAACAGCAGTTCCTCCAACAGAGCCGTTTCTGCTTCTCTGGCAGCCTATTTTACATCGTGCTTAAAAAAAAATAAAATCAAGATTTTATTCTGTTCTAATGGTTTTCCAAAGTGTTATGGCCTTCCACATGACTAAAACAGTAGTTAAAATACATGTGGTCAGAAATGAGATGGGAGACCACCAGATACAGGTGTCTGGCCTAGACTTTAAATTCCAAATAGCAGCACCAAAGCACTTTAGCCATAATAAACAACAAAAAAAGCAGGCAGCCGCCGATCTCTATAGATAATTTTCCTAAGCCATTTGCAGCAATCATTAGGACTGCAGTAGGTTTGCTTTGATATGGTTCTCAATTAAGTGAGTGGAGTTTTGCCAACTGGAGCGGAAGGGCAGCCAGCGATGTTTCATACAAACTTCCAAAAGAATTTTGGTTTTTGAAGGAGCGCAGGTTTAAGTCTGAAGCGGAGGCCTGTAGCTGAGCGGTGATGGCATTAACACATCGACCTTTCCATGGGAAGATGAGAGGTAAATATGAATATGTCAGGTTGCGTCTGTTAGTCACGTTCCTTGCTCCTTTCTGCCCTTGGCCCACAACGCCTGGCACTTCGCTGCCCAACAAGACCACAAGGAGGAGGCACACCAGGCTCAGTTTACCTGCTTTTCTACCACGGGAAAAAAGTGTAAGGCAAGTCCTAAACAAGGAATTGCTTAAGTGTGCTGGGACCGAAAAGAATAACCGTAAAATTAAGTGTTCTTATCCACTTACCTTGTAACCAAGGGCCTTCAGTTCGCTAGCAGAGCAAGGGTACAAATCCATGAACTTATACCTGTCTACCAGCAGAGCTGTTTCTTTACCCTCATATTCTTCCTTGAATGCCGTAAACCTCCGTTTTTCAACTTTCAGTATACTAGCTAGATCACCAATGTTACTTTCGAAAGCTAAAAACCGAGCCCAGATTTCCCTATAAAAGAACAGATGAAAAGACAGTTGCTGAAGGAGAAAGAATTACTGATCATGACCCAATTAAAAAACACACGAGAGGAGAGACTCAGAAGAGGTAATCTGGGAACACACGACCACTTCTATTATTTACTTTAGATGCATCTATAACATGCATTACCTTCCCAGTGCCTTATATATTTCTGTAAAAGCTTTCAATCTAGTGGATCGTAAAGGACTTTGTTATGGAAAGGAAAGGATTACTGGTGTAAATGACTTCAGCATTTGAGGTGAGCTTTTTTCATCAATGTAAGATGCACAAATAGACTTTACTCATCCGGCTACATAGAATTTCACTCTGATCCTGCTATGTGAATAGGATCGTGATTTAGTTCATCTGCATAGACTAGCATATTCTAGCAGGCAAGAGCAATACCCTATAACACAATAGGCAGCACTTCAGAATTCTACATAGCCCAAAATATATAGAGTTACTGCTTATTTCTCTGTGGAAAATCTCATACATAACTTAAGCAACATCTGACCATATTTCTGGACTCGATTCAACTTTCATTTTAGCTTTGGAGTTCACCTTTGAAGAAGATTCAGCTTTTAAATTCTTGGTTTTTTCCACTTTTAAAATGGACATAAAAATATTTCTCACGAAAGACCACAATTAAAGTGCAGAATGAATGTGCACAGCAGTGCGATGTTTGATTTCTTAGTTTTGATGACCGTGTCTACCAGAATAATAATGCTGAACACTTGGACTACAAAGGGTTTGGTAAGCATTTTTTCAGAGAAATAAATTTAAAAAGTAGTAATGAAAATGTGGCGGTGAGTGGTTAATCCAAGTCTTTTCTGGTTCTTTCCCT